ATCCTGCGATCCCAAATAAAAAATGATCAATCGGTAGGAAAATGAGGTGAGGAATTTTCCTGCAGACTTTTCTGGGGATTTTCCCAGGGTCTCTGGTCTGCAGGATTTAAAATGATGGGTTTGGTGGTCCCTGAGGTTCAACCCCTGATCTAGATCACCTCACCACTTCTGAACCTAAGGTCCATCTATTTATTCTAAGGGTTGAAAAAAGGCTGGGTGAAGACCCATTTCTTTGCCAAGAGCTATAATCCTCTGCAAGGCCTATCAAGGAGGCCTGGCTTGCTGCTGATAGGATCAAAGAGAAATATGTTTTCATCTCTATTATAGCTCTTTCTTTCTTTCTTTCTTTCTTTCTTTCTTTCTTTCTTTCTTTCTTTCTTTCTTTCTTTCTTTCTTTCTTTTTTTTCTTTCTTTTTCTTTCTTTTTCTTTCTTTCTTTCTTTCTTTCCTCTCTCACCTGCATTTATTTATTTATCAAATCATTGTATCTGCCCATCTCACAGCATGGGCAGTTCCTATAGGAGTCCCTGTATATCACCCTAAAATCATAGAATCCTAGGGCTGGAAGGGATCTTTGAGGTCTTCTAGTCCAACCCCTTGCCCAAGGCAGGAGTCCTTATTCCATCCCAGACAAATGCTTGTCCAATCTTTTCTTGAAAACCTCCAAGAAGCTACAGCTAATCCTCGACTTACAACCTGGCATGGTGTGATCTTGTTCACAGCCAGGAGTGAGACCAATCTCAGCAGCCTTTTAAGCGGCATCAACGCTAAAAGTAGTTTTCTTCCTTGATTAAATATACTACACTAAGCATAAGTATGAACAGTTTTGTTTGTTTTCCCAAGTCCTGTTCAAAAACATTTAGTCTTACTTTACCAGATGGGATGGGTATACCAGTCAGGATGTACTTTTCCCTTTGGTCCTGTGTAATGACTGAAAACTAATTACAAGGGGATTTTGCCAGTCTCCATAGTAAGAAGATAATATGTTATTTCCTATTTTTGCTGGTAGCTGGTTGTTGCTGAGTGCTTTGTTTTGTGTGGTAAGATATGCAGATAACCCAGTCTTAGGCATTTATGACATCATTGCTTAGCTAGCTAAGCCTTCATAAGGTCACCTGTTTACCATCAGTTAGTCATAGCCTCTCTCTGGTCTCCCAGAGCTGACACACAAGCATGAGTCATATCTCCCAGCGTAGGTACTCGGATAATCCAAAATTCCTTTCTTTTAGCACTTGAGAACATCACGAATGACTGAAGCCACCCTGCACTCCCTGGGACCCACCAAAACCAGGTCTTCTCCCTCTTGTCACAGCCCCTTAGTCCTTCACCATCTCTGTGAGGGATCTGGCTGCTCCTTTCACTTCCTTACCCGGTAATTCTTCTCCTCCTCAAACTTCTCTTCGTATTTCCTTATCCTCCTCTTCAGGTTTTGTAGGTGCTTTGTGAGTTGTACCATGGTCTGGGGCACTTTGCTGTCCTCGCAGCTGCCTCTGGAAGAACTTCTTGGCCTGGGACATTCAAAATTTATATTTTAAAAAGTGTCCATTTAGGGTACTTTTTCTACCAAATAAGGGCTCCAGATACCCTGGAGTCCTATGATGATACAGGGAGATCAGTGGTACGATTCACTCTGTGGGTATGGTTTTACCACCGGTTCGGTGGGCATGGCTTGGTGAGCATGCTTTGCCTAATGCGTGTGCAGCTTTCCCCACACCAGCTGAGGCCTGCGGAGCACCAATCAGCTGAAAGGACAAAGAAGAGACAAGCGCAGGGTCAGGTGGAAGGGCCAATCCTGCGCTTTTCTCTTCTTTCCTCTCAGCTGACCGTCGGCTTTTTTTTACAACCAGTTCAGCCAAACCGGTCTGAACTGGTAGCATACCACCACTGGGGGAGATGGAAAAATAAAGAGGAAGAGAGAAGAAGACACCACGGGAGAATTGCAGAAGTGGAAACCTCTCCTGCCCTTGTTTCATTAAGAACTACATACTCTCCGGAAGCCAGCAAGGCGAGATAAATACAATCACCCAAGAAAGAATTAAGCAGCAGCTAAAGGCATAATTATGGCGGTCAGTTGGACAGGTTGGGCAGCTTCAGGGGTGGTATTCAGCCAGTTCTGACCAGTTCTGGAGAACCAGTAGTGGAAAATTTTGAATAGTTCGGAGAACAGGCAAATCCCACCTCTGACTGGCCCCACCCCCATCTATTCTCTGCCTCCCATTGAGTCCCAGCTGATCGGCTGGGTCTTCTTTGGTTGCCCTGCACAGGAGAACGGAGATGGAAAGCAGGTTAGTGGGGAGGGGAGGGAATGGGGATTTTGCAGTATCCTTCCCCTGCCACGCCTACCAAGCCACACACACAGAACCCCTGAGCAACATGTGAAATGCTCAAAAGCTCCTCCACGTCCACAGGTTCTGGAGTTGTCAAATGATGGATGATTACCAGCAGAAGCTTCCTTTGGGGGTGGTGATTCTGCCCGAAATCCTCGGACACGAATGCCATGGCCTGAATTGGGCCCTGCTAATGATCTTCTTCTGGAGAGAATGGCTTCAGAGAGAATCCTGGAGCTCAGCAAAGTTCTCACAAGCCTCACTGAGGGCACTTAAGAGGCCCCAGGATTTTTCTACGCTGGCCTTTGCTTTGATTTGCAAGACTGGGGAGATGCGAGTTCTAAACCTATTATCCTATTTTGCACTTTCTTTATTGCGTATCATTGCATATACTTGTTTTATTGTCCCCTTGGATGCAGTTATTGAGTGCGCCTGTCTTAAAGTATCCTCAGTAAAACAGTTTATACATTCACAAATATACGTGTAAATATTTGGCATATTTGAGCCTCGGTGGTGGTGCAGTGGTCAGAGTGCAGTACTGCAAGCTACTTCTGCTGCCTGCCAGCTGCCTGCAATTGGGCAGTTCGAATCTCACCAGGCTCAAGGTTGACTCAGCTTTCCATCCTTCCAGGGTGGGTAAAATGAGGACCCAAATTGTTGGGGCCAATAGGCTGACTCTGTAAACTGCTTAGAGAGGGCTGGAAAGCACTATAAAGCGGTATGTAAGTCTACGTGCTCTTGCTATAGCTATATTAATTTTAAATAAACAGTTCTTTTGTAATGCATTGTTTTTGTCCCCCACATCTCACAAATAAAAATATGAAAACGTTCCTGGCACCTTCTTTTTTGTTATTGGAGGCCTCCTTGTCTGAAACTTCTAGTTCTCTGTTCTCCTTTTTCACTCTGTGCTGGTTTGCACTCCAGTGATTTAAAATAGGAGCCACAATATTAACTCGCCTTATAAGGTTATGATAAGCACTGTCCCTAAATCAACCACCCTGAAGGAATGTTTACAGTGGAGCAGCTTATTAGATTTACTATTATTAAAAACCTGGAGGCCATTTGCTCTCTTGAATAAACGAATTCATAACTGTTGACTGTTAGCTGATTAAAAAAAAGTTTTTGAAGCTACCAAATAAGGGCCCAGGCAGTCAACTTTGGAGCAGGCAGAATCCCTCCTGCAAAACTCAATGTAGTGTGAATGATGCATCTTATCAAGATTTGCAGCTGTGGGAGAAGAGGCTGCGGCCGTTCACTGTGTAGGAAGTTATCACCCACCCCTCTCCTAGAAAAATGAAATATCCTAGGACATATTAACAAGGCGGAATATTTCTCCTAAAAAGAGTAGAAACTCAGAAGCAGAAACTCAACCCCCTCCCACCTTTGCTAATGGACCATTACTCTAGCCTAGGCCAGCCTATTTTACATAACAAAGATCTACTCCAGGTAGAGAGGTATAATAGAAATTGCCCCAAGCCCTTTCATTACATCATCATCCAGCAAGGCTCAACCAAGCCTGGGACTCAGCACAGCCTACAGAGTTGCCCCTGCATGGCCCCATGGGAGCCTGACAACCAATCAGAATTCAAATTCAAATTCAAATCCCAACAGAGGGTATAAAACCCAGGCACTTTCAGCATCTCAGCCCTTCCTTCTTTCTTCATGCAAGCCATGTGGTCCTGTCCACCATTAAACCCTCTTTCCAAGCAGCCTCCATGTTTCCAGTGTCTTTTTCCTCACTTGGAACTGAACCCAGAAGGATATTATTCTTCCACCAACTGAATCTGGGGCACCAATTTCCATCTGGATGCCAATTTCCCAGGAAGAGGGGACCTTCTGCTTGCCCCCAAAGTGGTGCTTCCGTAAGAAGACAGTTTTGTCCTCAGAAGGAAAACAAGGTTGTTTGCGCTTGGGAAAAGGGAGAAGGTCGGTGCAGCTTACATCATGAAGAGTTGAGTGCTTGGTGGAGAAGGAGCCGATTCGGGGTCTAAGTTAAACCTCTGGCTTTGGCTGAAAATAGAGCAGCGAGGAGACAACAGAGGATAATCTCCATCCGTGATATGATGCAACAGCCTGCAAGTCCCTAAAGCATCCGGGTCTTCGGGCCCATTGTCAGCCTCCATCAGGCCCTCTCGGTACTCCTGAGCAGGCTCTGGAAGGTCAAAGATCAAGAGGTTTCTCAGGGCAAATTCAATATCAGCCCCATATTAAAACAGAACTCAAGGGCCACACCAAGAAGGAAACACTTCCACAACAGACTTGTGATGACCCGGGGCGTGGCACAAAGGCAACACAGTCACATAAGTAAGATAAGTCCCTTTAATACCTCCAACTTTGCCCCCAATGTCCAGGTTACCTTCCGCTGGAGAAAAAACTCTCCCAAGAATAGTCTTTAAGTGGAGGAAATTCAGTCCCAAAACAAAATACATACAAACTGTAAATAAAAATCCATGCAAACCACGCTGCAGCAATAAACTGGACAGGGCAGGAGAAGGAATTGCAGACCTCAAAAGCCAACAAAACGCACACAGTTGGGAAGATGCCAGGAACCCAGATAAGCCTTGACAATGAAAAAATAACTCATTATTTGCTTCCCATGAGTTGCTGCACACAATCTCCCTTTTAAAATACTGTGTTCCCAGCTGCAGCTAATGAAGGGAATCAGGGCCCTTTCCTCCCCCATAAGCCATGCAACTCACCTTGCTCCCTCCTCCGTTCCTCCCTGAGTGCCCTAGGATGAAGAGGGGGTGAGCCTTAATCTTCCTCTGAATTCCCTCTGCCTTGCTCTACCTCTCTCCTGCTCTGCACAGCCGGCCTTTGTCCTTCCCCAGTTTCTTCCCCAGCCAACGGAGGAGCCATACTCCCACTCCCTGTCAGCTGCTCAGCTTCCCCCTCCGAATCAGATTCCAACAGAGGCATGACAGACTAGAATCAAAATGTCCTCCCCCTGAAGATTAGGGTCAGCTAAGGAAAGTATAATTGATACCAGTGACAAACTGCAATTGACACAACTCTTGGAATCAGTTTGCAGATTTAAGAACTCATCTTAGCTGATTCACTTCTTGCTGCCAAATATGTAGCCAGGCTAAACGCTGGAAGGAGGTTTTGCCATGTTCTGGTTTTTGCAAATGGAAGGTACCATCTGGGAGGAAAAAAGGCACTAAATAAACAATAACAGTGTTTTTTCTATTTACACTATTATCCAAAGCAGCAGCAGATGCTATTTACTGGCTTTACATATTTTTCGCCTTAATTGTTCTCTCCTTTCTACTAATTTGTGTTGTGTACTAAGATAAACAATAGCCATTGTTATTAATGCCCTCTTATTTGAATTTCTTTTCTCCTTTCCTTTCCTCTTTCTTTTCCTCTTTCCTCTTTACCTTCCTCTTTTCTTTTCTTTCCTTCCCTTTCTTTTTCTTTCTTTCCTTCCCTTCCTTCCTTTCCCATTTTTATAACTATTAGATCTTGTGTTGTTTACACACACACACACACATACACACACACCCAAATGGAGGAATTCTGTGGACGGTTGGAAAGACAGACCCGTTTCTTCTGATCCAATCAAAATATCAAACATGAATTATAAGAAAAGTGAAGCCTGTAACCATTTAGCCAAAATGTATAAAGCATGCAAAACAAATTGTTCACGATATAAAATGTGTACGCCAGAATGATTTATTAAACCAAATAGCTAACATTTATGAAATGTTTCATAAATTAATAAGTCTCATTAAAGAAACTGAAAGACTTAACATTCTGGCAGGCGTAACAATGCACCTGACTTTGCTTTCGTTCCCATGGTTTCTGCATTGACAGCTTCTATCATTTCTGACCATAGATCAATCAACTCTGCACAATTCACATATAAAGTCGATTTAAATGAAAAAGTAAGTAGAGTTTCTTTCTTTTACATAAATATTTTCCAGTACTTCAATGCCAAGGGGGAAAACATCCCACTAGCAAATAGCAATCCTTAAGAATTCTGTCCAGCCTTCTGTTTTTCTTTTAAAGATGTGAAGAATTGAATGATGGGTCTTTGGCACAGAAGCATGGACTCTGCTGGCACTTAATTCCTGCTGCAGTTTAATTAAGCATTGAAAGAGAAGTTTGTATGCAAGAGATGCATTGAAAATCAGACTGGAAGTGATAATATATTTACAAGAAACTGTGATATGGTCCAGATGCAAAGCTTACAGCTCTCCCCTGGACACACCAATGCCCTCAGCGTTGCCACTTTGGCTCTTTAGTAGGAAAGGTAAAAAAGAAAAAGAAAGATCTTCAGAATCACCTAGGCCCATCCATCCAGTGGGAATTGGGATGCTTTTCCAGACCCTTTTCATTTAAAGCACTGGGTCAAACCCATATCCAGTGTCCAGCTTAACCTTTGACTTTTTATTGATGTTACTATTGTTACTTCATCTGGCCTCAGAATTGAGCTATGGTTTGAAGAGCCTTAAATATTTCCCTTCCCAGAATTTTTTTCTTGGCTGATACACCCTCTAAAAAGGAGACAGAGAAGGGCTAATGGCAGCAGCAGGAGTAGAAATGTTACATTGGGCCAATGCTTACCTTGGACATCCTATCGTATCCTAACGATAGGATCTCCCAAATACAAAGGAAAACAAAGGATTTGAGTGTCTTAATCATTCTATGGAAGGTTGATTTAAGAAACATAGTTGCACCTCGTGTATGTATGTATTTCTCTATGTATATGTATATGGTGTTGATCTGTTTGTTTAATTAAAATAAATTAATTTTTGTTAGGATGGAATCGAGCTTTTACAATATATCCTGTTTCCTAAAGCCAGCTGCGTTTATGTGACCCAAATAAAATTAGATACTATTTCCTCCTTATTATGCCCTAAACCAGGGGTGTCAAAACTCAATTTCATTGAGGGCCACATCAGGGTTGTGTTTGACCTTGAGGGGGGGGCAAGGGAGGCATGGCCAGCTTGGCGTCATTCGTGTCAGGGGCGCCTGTGGTGGGCCAAGCGCTCTTCCAGCAAAAACAAGCTCCCGAGCTCCGTTTTTGGCTGTGATGGCTTCCTGCAACCCTTTGCCAGCGAAAACGGAGCTCGGGAGGGGCGTGGTCAGCCCTCCTGAGCTCCATTTTTGCTGGCAGAGGCACCATGGGCCAGTCCTTTGCTATTTCCATGTGCCAGATCTAGGCACCCCATGGGCTGAATCAAGCCCACAGGCCTTGAGTTTGACACCCCTGCTCTAAGCAGTAATAGATCTTATGTTCTCAAATAATGCCTGAACTCGGTCACTTTTGGCAGATTCACCCATGTACGGCACCACATTCAAAGGCTTCCAGGGACCTTTAATGACGAAAAGCCAAGGGCATGCATTAACCGAAGGTTTTCTTACCACGGCCACAATCTCTGTCAATGTTCATGCTCGTTGAGGCAGATGAAGAGGCTGGTTCCTCTGAAGCCACCAGCTGAGGACTGTCTTCCTGGTTTAGCAAAAACGCAGAAGAAGAGAGATCAGTTGCAGAACTGCAGGACAGGTTCCATTTATTTTTGCCCTGCGGGAGATATTCCATTTTTGGAAGGGCCAAGACATAGTCTGCATTTCCCTTCACGCTCCAGAACAAAACAAGCGGTTTGTCATCCCTTTCTATAGGCAAGTCCAAGAAAGCAAGGTTAGTTATCTGCTTGTGTTCTCTCTGGCTATCATATCCCAGGTTTCACACAGAACGTATTATTCCATCAATGCACTTTCACACAAAAATCTTGCCTTTTTCCTCTATCAAGTGAGTGCGGAGCCCCATGGAAGTGACCTTGAGGAAGCCATCCAGAAGCCATTTGGTCTACCCCATAGAACTGACCCCAGGTTTGTTAGGAGTCCCTCATCCATGTTTATCATCCCTCGGAAAGACGTCCGGATACTAAGGAATTCAACATAGACCGAGTGAACAGTGTTGTTCCCAAAACTGTAGTCTCATAATCTTGTCCAAATTAGAGGATATCATTGGTCATTCCAGAAAGAAAGGGTTACCTATTGCTCTCATCAATCCCAAGAAAATAAGGAGGAGCAAATTGAGAAACTAATGGTAAAAGAATGGAAATAAGTGCTATGTATAAGTTCTCCATTCAGAGAAAACACATCTTCCTGCATCTAATAATAATAATTATTATTATCCCAATTGTGATTGGAGCCCTTGGATCAATACCTAAATGGCTACCTCACTATTTGGAAATTCTGATTTATCAGACTTGAATACCCGGATTCTACAAAAGACCACCCTACTGGTGCTATGCAAATAAGATGCAAGTGAAGCCAATTACACAGTTGGCTTCAGCCTCTGGTGCTATGCAAATGGGTAGCTTGATCTACTGCAGAAGTCTCCAAACTTGGCAACTTTAAGACTTGTGGACTTCAACTCCCGGCTATGCTGGCTGGAGAATTCTGGGAGTTGAAGTCCACAAGTTGTAAAGTTGCCAAGTTTGGGGGCTCCTGATCTACTGGATGTAGTTCCAATTCTCTTTAGCTTGTTGTTGAGCCACTCCTCCCAGCAAATTCTGGGGCTATGCAAATGCAATGCAACTGCAACCAATCATTTCTAGTGCTGGATTCATTTCTAATGCTGCATCATTTTACCTATGATGGAAATGGAGGAAGAGCTGCCTTAGAATGAATCACTGAAAAGACTGCTGCCTAACTTTCCCAATTTCCTCGAAAGCATTTCTACTTTCCTCAACAAAAATAAAGAACTAATTGGGCGCGGCTACCACAAGTGGTATTATGTTTTATATAGTGTCATTATATTCCCCCAATACAATTTTTACATAACTTCAATTAGTGTGATGAAGTTTTAAGGGGGGTGTAGCATCTTGTGCTATTTGTAGAGTCAATTCTGAATTATTTGTTAGAATAGATTTAAAAGGATGTTGTATCCTGGCTCAAACCCTCTCCTTCTTCAATAAGAAGAAAATGAGTGTGACATGTGGATTATAATAAATCTGAAGAAAGGGATTTTAACTGCAGAGGTTTCTGGAGCTCTCAAGGGAAATAATCAAAATCTTATTCATGGGCCAAATGGCCTTTGTGTGTCTTTATTCCATAGTTCTACCTAATCAAGCATAGGAAGTCCTCAGAGTTAGATATAAGCACTCTAAGATTCTCAGAGTTTGTTTTAAGAAAAATATCAAAAGCTTCTGTAGGAGAGACCAGGCTGAGCCCGAAGGAGGGGTCAAACACATCATTAGTCTTGAGTTCCTTCGCATCGACAAAGAGACCTAAGTCCAGCATACCTTGAATTCCATTAACTCTTATCTATTGCTAATTTGCCTTGACTGTTAGTAGTTCAGATTCTTGTAGAAAGCTACCATGAAATTAACTTGTACTCATTTTGGACCTGCTCTTGATTCCCAATTTCTTGCACCACTTCCATTTTTAAGTCCAGAGACATGGGCATGATTTGTTAATGCTCCCTTCAAAATTTCAAGACTTGTTTAACTTTCAGCAGTTATAAACCTACTTGGGAGTTTTCATGTGGCTGTCCACAATTTGAAGTCTACAAAACAAGCACATGCAAATTAACCTCGCAGTTCATGAAAAATGCAGAACTAGTTTGTTTTCCTTGGCACACTCCTAAGGTTACCATAGAGCATATTGTGGATTTTCTTCTCAAGCCCTAAGTTCAAGAAGAATATTTGAAGACTTTGGAGAACAGCAAAGAAGGAGGGTTTGTCCAAAGGGAACATTTAATCTACAGCCTTCATGATCTAAACTCATTAATCTTTGCTGTCCTGCAACAGCAAGTTTTTATCACAATAGAATTTTTTATTACACATGTTTCCCACCGAACCCTGTAGATATGTTTTTAGTGAGGGTGCTATTCTATGCCCAAAAAACCAAAATAGAAGCAATTATTGTCTCCACTGAGATGTTTCCTTAACAATCTCCAGTTGGTTATTCCCTGTTCAACCAAGCCAGGAAAAATCTCCTAAAAATTCTTTCTTGGAAAATGGCTTTCCATATTTATTTTGTTATTCTTATCAGCCACAAAGGCTAATTACTCATCTCTTCCAGTTTTGCACATCCTTTCTCCCTTCTCTAAAATTCACAAAACACTCTTAGGCATCCCATAATATCTTAGAGACTGAAAAAGTTTTTGGCATCTTCAAAAGCATTTCAATATTCAGAACAGAATGAAAATCGAATCATGGCCTTGCTAGAATCGCATGAATTATGCATCTAAATCAAGTACACAGTTTATACAATACACAGATATACACCCCAAAAAGGGACCATCAATTTGGATGATCAAACCACAATACAAATGTGCCCAATTGCACAAAAGTCAAGTGCTTCAATGCCACTTTAGCAACCCCCCCAAAAAATTGAGCAGCTTAGAAAAGTGATTTTTAATAAATTACACAGTATGTACAGTATGTTAACAAAGAATATCATAAAATCATAAAACCCCAATAATGATAGCAACATGACTGTACCACATTCATCAGTGTTTCTGAACCTCAGCCATTTTAAGGTATGTGGACTTTGTCCCAGAATTCCCCAGCCAGCTATGCTGGCTGGGGAATTCTGGGAGTTGAAGCACACATATCTTAAAATGGCTGAGGTTCAGAAACACTGACATACATCACCATCCTCTTGTGTCTTTGACAGAATCCCAGCCCAAGCAAGATCATTATTTGATGCCTGAAGACCACATGTGAGCACCGTCTTCTCTTCCTTTGATTAGCTTAAAGATGCCCTCTTAGCCAAGCATCTTTGGGCTTCTAGTGGACTTACTTCAGTGAGCCTTTGCAGGTGTTCGGGGACATCGTTTGGTGAAATGAATGCACTTTGATCTGTCCTGCAAAACAGGAAGTGGAGAATCAGAGAATCAGAGACCCTTCAGCCAACCAACATAACTGGGGCCATTAAATGAACCCATTTATGGATTTTTGCATTAACTCTTTAAAAGCAGATGTAGGAGACAGAGGGATCCACTCAAAAAAATATTGGAGTGGAATGTTGGGCAATAGAAAATGAATGTTATTTCCTGAACCTCTTTAATGCATCTAAAAGTAAAGGTAAAGGTTCCCCTCGCACATATGTGCTAGTCGTTCCTGGCTCGAGGGGGTGGTGCTCATCTCTGTTACAAAGCTGAAGAGACAGCGCTGTCTGAAGACGTCTCCGTGGTCATGTGGCCGGCATGACTAAATGCCAAAAGTGCACGGAACACTGTTCCCTTCCCACCAAAGGGGTTCCTGTTTTTCTACTTGCATTTTTACGTGCTTTCGAACTGCTAGGTTGGCAGAAGCTGGGACAAGTAATGGGAGCTCACTCCATTATGCGGCGCTAGGGATTCAAACCGCCGAACTGCCGACCTTTCTGATCGACAAGCTCAGCTTCTTAGCCTCTGAGCCACCACGTCCCAAGCTTAAACGGTAGAGGATAATAAACAGCAGCACAAATAGGCTGAAAAACAGCTTTTATCCCAGGGCAGTAACTCTTTTGAATACTGCTGTATAGTGCAGTGTTGGTGCGGTGTCGGGGGGGTTTTAGTTCAATGTGTGGAGGGTGAAGGGTGTTTGTTTGTGTTTATTTTCCTGGTCATGATGTGCACTGAAGATGGTGTTTGATTTCATTGTACGAGGTGCAATGACAATAAAATAAAATAAAACTAAACCTTAAAAGTTTATAGAAATGTGTTCACTGTAATTATTCCTTACGTTATTAATCTAATCTTAATGAAGCTCCAACTCTTCAGTAATGTCATATATGAAGTGAAGAATTATGTATCGTAGGGAGATGTTAATTAAAAGCAGTATGCCAATACTTTCCAAAACAAATGAACACCAGATAAACTGCACTTTGGATTAGAAACACCTCCACCAGCTAAAATTTGACCGTCTGATCTGCTTTGTGATTTCTTAATCCTCATTATCTACCCTGTGAATCATATCCGGCTTGCTTCATCAGTAAGGAGGAAAAACCTTGGATGAATGAAAGGGAGGCCAGCTTTAACGGGGCAGGAAATCTGACATGAAACTGCACATTTCTTTTTCCTTAATTCTCACGTGATCACCCCACTCAGCTACATTTTATCCTCTCTAGCAGAGACAGGAAGAGTGTCCTGAGCATTCCTGGTAGGCTAGTTTTCCAAATAGACATAGCTGAATAGACATGGACCACATGCTGGCTGGGAATTTTGGGAGCTGAAGTCCACGCATCTTCAAGTTACTAAGTATGAAAAACACTGGTTTATAACCGTGTGAGGTAGAATAAGCAAGTCCCCTTCTAAACTTCCAGTTTAGAAATTTTAACATCTGCACTTTTGGAAAGTCTGTGTCTCTTTTCATGTTTTGCTAATATTTCTGACTTACTGTAACACTCCAAAAGCCCAGACTGTCTATTCGGATAGAAATCAAGATTTCCACCCTCTTCTTCCCTGACATATCATTATGTCTTCACACGATTTTCAAAGAAGATTAATTTTTTCCCCTTTTCATTCAGAGTTTTTTATACATATGTTTTTCTCTCAAGCACACAGTATCTCAGGCTCCAATTGTAACAGAGAAGTCCATGGAACAGGAGTCTCTGTTTCTTTCTTTTCCAGATTTCTCTCCAATTTCATATTTCTGTGTGGAAACCTACAAAGAACATAATACATCACCTCGCCTGAATATGAAATTGGAGAGAAATCTGGAAAAGAAAGAAACTGTTGTGGTTCGCTGGCAGCCGGTGCAGAAGGCAGCAGAATCAGACAGTGAGGAAGAACGGGAACCAGTCAGGGAGTCTGGAGAGGACTTGGACAAGGGTCCTGCATCTGATGCAGAGATGGGGCCAGGATCATCTGGGAGTGGGGTGCTGACTCTGGAGCCTTTGGAGTCTGGCAGCAGCGAGGCAAAGGACCCAGGGGAGCCTGTTCCCAGTGCATGTGTGCACAGAGATGCTAGAAGGCAAGAGCAGCTAAGACAAAAGGGCGACTCAGGAGTAAGGCTCGGAGGTGATTGACCCATAAGGGATAAAAGTCAGGCCAAGATGATGACATATTTGCAGGAAGCAAAGCAGTTCAATTAGATTCCAAGTCCTTCTTGAAGCTCTGTGTACTCTGGTCATTTTTTTCTGATACTTTGGATGGGTTCTGTTATAATTACTTTGGCGACTTCTGTTTTTGGCAGCATTCCCCAGCACTGACAAGTGTGGGCTTATCTTGGGGAACTGTGAATAATTAGTTCTGGTTGGAAAACGAAAGTAATTCCCAGTATTGCATTAAAACAGGTTTTGCGTTTCAAACAAGCTTGTGTTTCAGTACATTTGACGAACCTGGGTCAGAAGAGAAACACAGACTCCTGTTCCATGGACTTCTCTGTTACAACTGGAGCCTGAGACACTGTGTGTGGTGTGTGTGGATAGATAGATAGATAGATAGATAGACAGACAGACAGACAGACAGACAGACAGTGGTGGGATTCAAATAATTCAACAACCGGTTCTCTAATGATTTCTTCCAACAACCAGTTCACCAAACTGCTCAGAAACTTAACAACTGGTTCTCCCGAAGTAGTGCAAACTGGCTGAATCCCACCACTCTGTGTGTGTGTGTGTGTTTCTGTGTCTGTGTCTGTGTGTACACACACACACACACACACCACATATAAATCAGCCCCTGTTTTTTGTCCCCAGAAGCTACCCAGACTCAAAAAGGAATACCTGGGTTGAAACTTGAGAGCTGTTTCCTGGTATCTGAGCGTTACATTCTCAGCGTATTCAGCAGCTGAGGTCGCCGTTTTCTTCTGACACCCTGAGAGCCAAGACCCTGCATTTCCCATCTCCTATTCAAAGAGGGAGGAGCAAAATAAAACTACATTCGAGTAATTGGGAGCCAGACTGATGTGGACCATCTATTTTAGGAGGTGGGGGGGGGGGGTAAATGAAACAGGGAGGGGGAAGAAAAGAAAGAAGACAAAGAGGGAAGTCAAAAATTCATCTTCTCCTGCTTAGTCCAGGAAGTCCTCAAATTACAACCATTCATTTAGTGACAGTTCAAAAAAAGTGACATGAACGTTTTTCATCCAACCGTTGCAAACCGTATGGTCACATGATCCAATTCAGGTGCTGGGCAACTGACTCATATTTATGACAGTGGCGGTATCCTGGGGCCATGCGATCACCTTCTGACAAGCAAAGGCAATGAGGAAGCCAGGTTCGCGTAACAAAGGTGTGACTAATTCAACAGCTTCGGTGGTTGGCGTAACAACTGCCGCAAGAAAAATTGTAAAGCGGGTCTCAAACTCGCTTAAGGACCATCTTGCTTAGCGACAGAAATTTTGGGCTCCATTGAGGTCATAAGTCGAGGACTGCCTGTACAAATATGACGACAACAACGTGGTGATGGGGTGGTGGTGGGACCCTGTGTCAGTGCATTCTTGCATACAACACGAGGGCTTGTTTTGTTCCTCACCATGTTCCTCAGAACCTTTGCAGTCATTAAAACAGGGATCTCCAACCTTGGCCATTTTAAGACTTGTGGACTTCAACTCCCAGAGTTCCTCAGCCAGCTGGCTGAGGAATTCTGGGAGTTGAAGTCCACAAGTTTTAAAGTGTTGTGGTTCGCTGGCAGCAGGTGCGCACGGCTGAGGGCTCGGAGAGCGAGGACTCAGATGATGGGCCTGTGTGTGATGCAGGGATGGGGCCAGGACCATCAGGGAGTGGAGTGCTGCCTTCGGAGATTGTGGAGGCTGGCAGCAGTGATGAAGAGGCCCCCGAGGAGCCTGTGCCCAGTGTGCACAGAGCTGCTCGAAGGAAAGAGCAGCTACAGCAGTATGGGTGACTCGGGAGTAAGGCTGCAAGGTAATGGCCCCTCCCTGAGGAGATAAAAGCCAGCTGAGAAACGGGAGTTCTTTGCAGGAAGCAAAGAAGTTTTTGCACTCGAGTCTCGTGGACGTTTGGAATATCTTGGTTGGTGTTTGGAGACTCTTTGTGTTTAAAATACTTCTTGGCAACTTTACTGTTCTTGGCAGCCTTGCACAACCTTGGCAAGGCTCATTCTTATCAGAGACGATTAGTTTGAAACAGCCTTTTAACCAGGAAGGAACAGAATTCGTAAAAAATCATTAAAAGGTTTTTCTTTTACCTCTGCTTGGTGTTTGTTTCCTTGGAACAAGGTTTGGGTCAGAACATAAAGTTGCTAAGGTTGGAGACCCCTGCATTAAAATATTGTTTTTCCAATTTGCTCAGGTCTTTTTTGAAGCCATCTGCATTATCAATCAAATCAATCAAAAAAAATCTGAGGGCGGCATGACGTTTGGCATTTAACAGCGGGAATCGTTTTTCCCCTCCCTCCTCTGTCTAAACTTAAGATATTTCGGTTCGCCTTGCCCACACACTTGCAAAGTATCTCTTCACAGCCATATGGGTATCACAATTTTTTTATGACAGGAAGCTTGAGACTTTGAAGAAAGTATATGCTTCTCCTGATATTAAATTCTGGGCTTTTTCCAAGTTTTTCCCCTCAGAATGCTATTGTCAACTCATAAAACATTCCTATGCCTGTTTTAGTAGTTGCCATAAAAAGGGTGGGGGGAAGGAAATCTGGAAGAGTAGTGCAGCAGTTTGAAAGCAAAAATACATTCCAATTCTTATCATTAAAAGATTGTAACTAAACTACCAGAGCTTTTGCCTGCGAATATATTTAATTGGAGAATGTGATTGATGACACCCAGCCTATGAACATGGTCAACTGGAGAATTTGGTTGATGAGACACCCAGGAGGAAGGCGGGAAACAGGGTCACAGGTGACTGTAAATTATGTATGCAGGAGTTGGCTTCATACAGGGTAGTGCCAGTAGATCGTCTCTAATAAGTCCTTTGAAGTTTTTTGAAGGTTGGCTCAAGAATCATGATTTAATTAGGGTGATTGCTGGATTCCTGACAGCTGTGCTTCAGAAAGAGCACTCTTTGCTCCATCCACCTAGAACAGGAGTATCAAACTCAGTTTCATTGAGGGCCGCATCAGGGTTGGGGAGGGACTGGGGGGGCATGGCCAGGTTGACGTCACTCGTGTTGGGGTTGGGGGGGCAACTGCGGTTCTCCAAGCGCTCTGCCAGTGAAAATGGGCTCCCAAGCTCCGTTTTCGGCTGTGACAACCTCCTGCAGCCCTCTGCCAGCGAAAACAGAGCTTGGGGGATGCATTTTTGACCATGATGGTTTCCAGCAGCCCTCTGCCAGCAAAAATGGAGCTCAGGGGGCCACACATTCCCCCCCCCCCCCAGCTCTGTTTTTACTGGCAGAGGGGTGCAGGAGGCCATCACAGCCCAAAATGGAGTCTGGGAGGGCCGTGCATGGTGGTGGGATTCAATTTTTTTTATTACCGGTTCTGTGGGTGTGGCTTGGTGGGCATGGCAGGGGAAGGATACTGCAAAATCTCCAGTCAGAGGTGGTATTTACCGGTTGAACAAAATATGCAAAATTTCCACTACCAGTTCTCCAGACCTGGTCAGAACCTGCTGAATACCACCTCTGCCTCCCAAGCTCTGTTTTGGCTGGCAGAGGCACTGCAGGCTGGTCCTTTGATGCTTCCAGGGCAGCCCTGCAGGCCAGATCTAAACACTCCATGTGTGATGACCTAGGGCGTGGCAGAAAAGCAACGAAGTCATAAAAGTAAGTAAAGTCCCTTTAATACCTCAACTTGGCCCCCAATGTCCAATTATCATCAGCTGGAGAAAAAAACTGTCCCAAGAACAGTTTTTAAAGGGAAGAAATTCAGTCTGAATCCAAAGTACATATAAATTATAATTATAAATAAAAACCAACACAAACCACGCTGCAATATTTAACGAGACAGGGCAGGATAAGGAATTGCAGACGTCAAAAGATAACAAAACACATACAGTTGAGAGGACAGCGGAACCCAGATAAGACTTGACGAAGAAAGATAATTCACACTTTGCTTCCAGCAAGGTACTGTGCACAAATGCCCTTTTTAAATCCTATTGTCCCAGCTGCAGCTAATGAAGGGAATCAGGGCCCTTTTCTCCCCGTAGCCCTCGTAACTCACGTTGCTCCCTTCTCCGTTCCTCCCTAGAATGAAGAGGAGGTGGCCCTGGGTCTTCCTCTGAAGGCCCAGCCACACTGTGCCCTTCCCCAGTTTCTTCCACAGCCACTGGAGCCATACTTCAACTCCCTGTCAGCTGTTCAATCTCCCCCCCCCCCCCGAATCAGATTCCAACAGGGGCATGACACTGTGGTCCGATTGAGTTTGACACCTCTGACCTACAACTTCTTCACATCAGTTTTAATGCCAAGGCAGAACTGAAAGAAGTGAAATCCTCCCAGTATACAAGAGATTGTATCCCACACCACAACAGCCAAACTCCCCATTCCTGACTTCTTACAGGACTGCTTCTGACGATGGCATAAGTTTCAGAGAGATACTGATGGGAGGACAACTGCTGGAAAGGTCAACTCACCCCGTAACAGTTGGAAATGGCATTTTGTGTTGCACGGTAGGAAAGGCTAAGAAAGAATAGCTGTCATCAGTCTCTCTCCTTCACTTCAGAGGTGATATTCAGCAGGTTCTGACCAGTTCTGGAGAACCAGTAGTGGTTGAGTAGTTCGTTGAACCGGCCAATACCACCTCTGACTGGCCCCGCCAACCCATCTCTTCTCTGCCTCCCATTGAGTCCCAGCTGATCGGCTGGGTCTTCTTTGGTTGCCCTGCACAAGAAAATGGAGCTGGAAAGCAGGTTAGTGGCGTGGGGAGGGGAGGGAATGGGGATTTTACAGTATCCTTCCCCTGCCACGCCCACCAAGCCACATCCACAGAACCAGTAGTAAAAACATTTGAAGCCCACCACTGCTTCACTTGGCTAACAAAAGACAACAAGCTCCTTGAATCACAACTTTAAAAAGCAAGAAAGATTAAATACTGTATATGGCCATGCTAACAGCAATGAAAACATGAAGAGAATTGGTACAGAAAGAAAGAAATCATGGCATCTTTTTTGCCAAGTTGGTTTTCTCAGATACTTCCCACAACTAGCCTTACTAGGAAACTTTACAATCTACACACACACACACACACACAAATCAGAATCCCTGCTCAGGATCTTCCACCCAGGAGAAAAAAACTGCTGCTTACCTACAGAAGAAAAGAGACTAAAATGTCCACCCACATACAAAGCCAATGTCCAACCTGTCCAGTCCCAAAATGTCTGCAAATACCTTGTAGTATTAATGAATTTTTTTTAAAAAAAATGTCCCCATCTAATCCCAATTGATCTGGAATGCTTGAAGATGACATTATCTTTATTTTCAGGGTTTATTTCAGGGTTTTGAGCTGCGTTTACTGTACAGTGACCCACCTACTCCCAGGCCGGAGTACTCACCAACCAATCTTAGAAATAAAAATATAATCCAGAGGCTTTTCTTTGATTACTGATAAAATTCCAGCAAATACCTGCAAGCAAATTACCTGATTTTCTTCACGGGTTTTCCCATTTTCTGCTTTTGGAATGGATGTAGGCTTTCTGGATTTTAAGTTCCCCATGCCAACTCTTAGGATGCCATCGCAGGGTGTTGGCTTGTCTTGAAACACTTCCTCACTTTCCTCTAAGACTACAGATTTGTCTGGGTAGTTTTCCTTGTTTTCATCTCTGGGGGGGGGGGGGGAAAGAATCAATAAAAGCACATCTTAAAAAGCACTCTGAAGAATTTTAAGCCAGTAAAACAGAGAGCAAAATGGTAGTGCTCAAAGCAACACATCGATCCCCAAGCTTATCTGAAAAATACAAGTTTCCCTTTTCGTTTCTCCTAAATAAAACCTTCCCATCAAAATCACCAAGACCAAAATAAAGTTTCTTTATATACCATCACTTTTTACACAGAGGGTAAGAAATCCAGCCCTAATCCCAGACTTCAAAACTACTTAATTACTACAGCCAACTGATTCAAGTTTGCCAGATAAAAAATAATAATTCCCCAGGATATGTGATTTTTGGAAAACAGTATGATTTCACCCTCCAGGCCTGGAGCCCAGCCTGAATGGTCATCCAGGCCAACTGCAATAGCACTATATCACTTTGTTCAGATTCAGCCTATTGCACCCAATGATCTAGGTCCTCATTTTACCGACCTCGGAAGGATGGAAGGTTGACTCAACCTTGAGCCGGTCAGGATCGAACTCCAGACTGTGGGTGGAGTTAGCCTGCAATACTGCATTCTAAGCAATGTTAGAATGGAACCAGGGCTCCACAGCTCCATGCCTTGGGAATGTCATCCCGTTCATGACCTCAGTTGCCAGGTTCATCTCCCTTTGGACAAGGTTTCAATCCATTTTGTGTTGGAAAATTGCAGATTAGATAGATTAGAAGATAGATAGATAGATAGATAGATAGATAGATGGATGGATGGATGGATGGATAGATAGATAGATAGATAGATAGATAGATAGATAGATAGATAGATAGATAGATAGATAGGAGAGAGAAAGAGAGACAGTGATATGAGAGAGAGAGAGACAGACAGACAGAGACAGAGACACACACAGGGAGAGAGAGAGACAGAGAGAGACAGATAGACAGATAAGACAGATAGACAGAAAGAGATGCAGAGCTGGTATTCAGCAGGTTCTGACCAGTTCTGGAGAACCAGTAGTGGAAATTTTGAGTAGTTCGGAGAACCATCAAATACCACCTCTGACTGGAGATTTTACAGCAGGGGTCTCCAACCTTGGCAACTTTAAGACTTGTGGACTTCAACTCCCAGAATTCCTCAGCCAGCTTTGCTGACTGAGGAATTCTGGGAGTTGAAGTCCACAAGTCTTAAAGTTGCCAAGGTTGGAGACCCCTGTTTTACAGTATCCTTCCCCTGCCACGCCCAACAAGCCACGCCCACACTTTGCTGGCTGAGGAATTCTGGGAGTTGAAGTCCACAAATCTTAAAGTTGCTAAGGTTGGAGATCCCTGTTATAGAGCAAGTGCCTGGGTTTTCACAATCTCACTGCCAGATAATCACATGCCCAAACTATTCCTAACTATTTGTGTTGGCAGCAAAGTAATATTGGAAAAGGTACTACAATTCAGGCTTGCAAATACTCTGGCACACTTTGCACAGGAGGAAGCCTCCGCAGGCAGAATATCATTGACTGTAGCTGCGTGACTCTGGAGAGTAAAAGAGGTCACACCGGTAACCAGAGCAAAGTGTCTACTGTCTTTGAAGACATCTCCAATAAGTTCTCCCCATCTGCTCTTCAGCCCTACCACATGGAAAGGCTTATCAAAGGGATAACTCGATCGGTGAGTAGGAAGGGATTCTCAATGTGCCAGCTGCACAATCAGCTATCCAGATTTAGTGACACATAAACAAGAAGCCAATGCTGCAGCAGGCATGGCTGTACCTCTCCTATACTGACTATTTTCAGACTTTATAATGTCGTTGACAAGAAGTGGACTTAAATGGCCAATCCTTGTCCAATGCAATATACAGTATATTATCATATGCCACCAATACTCCACTGCGTTCTGTAAGAAAAATAGAACAGAACAGAATAACAGAGTTCTTGGAGGTTTCCTAGTTCAGTGGTCGCCAACCAGTGGTCCGGGGACCACTGGTGGTCCATGAGAAAATTTTGGTGGTCCGCAGAGAAATGTCACCCCCAAAGCAATTAATCCAGGCTACACGGGAACACAAGGCTTGCATCACTTGCATTGTGAACAACACGAGGTAGTGAGGGGAGGGGGAAAGGGTGGAGGGAGGGAAATTGGCCCACTCACCCCACGCGCCTGGCCTGGCCACCGGGCCACTTCTTTCTGCTTTTGACTGCATGCAAGGAAAGCAGCAAAAGTCTTTTTTTTCTCTCCCCTAGAAATGAGTCTTTGGGACCCTGCAAGGCCTCCTGCTCCAAGAGGCTGTGCCGGCATGACGAGTCTCACAAACACTCATTTCTGGCAGAGTTTGGGGGAGAGAAAGAAAGACTTCTGCTGCTTCTGCTGCTTTCCTTGCATGAAACCAAAAGTCTCTCCCTCTCTCTCTCTCTCCCTGAGAACGGAGCTGGAGATGGTATCCTGCGATCTCAAATAAAGAATGATCGATCAGTAGAAAAACGAGGTGGGGAATTTTCCTGCAGATTTTTGGGGGGATTTTCCCAGGGTCTCTGCTGCTTTCTGCAGAGACCCTGGGAAAATGTCAGCAAGCCACCATCAGTCAAAATTCATATTAGTGGTCTGTGGGATTTAAAATTATGAGTTTGGTGGTCCCTGAGGTCCAAAAGGTTGGCGACCCCTGTCCTAGTCCAACCCCCTCCCCCACACAAGAAACCCTATACCATTCCAGACAAGTGGCTGTCCAGTCTCTTCTTAAAAGATGCTTCAGTGATGGAGCACCCACAACCTCTGGTTGATTGTTCTCACTGTTCTCATTCCACTGGTTGATTGTTCTCACTGTCAGGACCAACTTCGATATAAATCCCACCCCAGACATGTCAATACCTAAACCAACTTTGCCAGTTCCGAGAATTCTTAAGGGGCTTTTTCTTGAAAATTTCTGGGAATGTTGTCAAGTTCTACTTCATTGCCATGAGCATCAGAAGTTTGGGCTTAGCTTTTATTAGAGATCGTATGGTTAATCTCAGCTGTACTAGATTGCTTTCCTCAAACTTCCATTGCACCTTTTAATGCCCACAACATCATGCTTTTAATTGTTGAATTTATTCTCATACTGACCATTCCTTTACTTATGCGCACACTTATTTTGTTTCCATGGTTACAGGGGGTCTTGAGGTGGGCAGAAAATATCTGGTTATGTGTAGACTTTTACTTAGCTGTTTATGGGTTTTAACTCTGAGGCTATTCTAGCTATAATATTTTTAGATCTTGAGCTCAATGCAAAAATACTCCCTTTCTTTGTTTCTATCCCTGTTCTGACCCAGGCTTTGTAAACTGTAATTGCACACAAACTTATTTTAAAACAAGACTTATTTTATTGCAATGTTGGGAATAGTTTTTCATTCTCAGCCACAATTAATCTCAAACAGTCCCCCAAGATAAGCACACGCCTTTCAGTTCTGTGAAGTGCTGCCAAAAGCAGAAATATCAAATGAACTAGAAAAGAAACCAACCAAATTACACAGAGTTTCAAGGATGACTCTGAACCGATCCAACTACTTTGCTTCCTGCAAAGGTTTTGACATCTTGGCCTGACTTTTATCCCTTATGGGAGGGGCAATCACCTCCCAGCCTTACTCTTGAGTTGCCCCTTTTGTTTCAGCTGCTCTTGCCTTCTAGCAGCTCTTTGCACATGCGCACTGGGAACAGGCTCCCCTTGTTCCTCTGCCTCGCTGCTGCCAGACTCCAAAGGCTCCGAAGGCAGCACCCCACTCCCAGATAGTCCTGGCCCCATTCCTGCATCAGACACAGGACCCTCGTCCGAATCCTCTCCAGACTCCTGGACTAGTACCCGTTCTTCCCCACTGTCCGATTCCGCTGCCGTCTGCACAACAATCCTTTCCTCCTCCTGTTTCTGGAGTTTAAAATGTTTCCCAGAATTCCCAGTCTCCAAAGGGAACATTTGTTCTCATGTTCTCCACTCTTCCTTATACTTCAAAGAGTGTATGACATACACCACATACACTCTGGGCACGGTTTAGTCCACTGTCTGTCCTCACCTTCTTCTGTGTGGAAGGGTTAATTCCTGAGATTCAATCTAGGGTAGAACTTCATGGACCCATTAAAGATGGTTTTGCACCCCTGAAATTTCCAAGCATCTATCAGGCCAGAAATCCCAGCCTCTACCTCTTCTTCCTCTAACTCTGTTGTAAAAGATATTACTATAAATTAGTTTCCCAATCCAGTCAACTATTTTTATTTTATGTACACCCTCTTGGCAAAGTCAAAGTATGCTTAGTCTTGATCAAAGAGTTGAAGATTCTACTTTGGTCAAAGTAAACTGAAAATGCATTATGCATCTGTCCCACTTCAGTAACAAGTCCCTCTGGGTTGGGACGGTGAAATATATCAGTCTGCATTATACAGGAGTCCACAGGTTCCTATAAAAGCAGGCATGTTGTAGTTCTTACCTGTTTAACTGGGCTTCCCATGCAAGTCCCAGAGATGGGCTTGTTAACGATGTGGCCTTAGGCTCAAAATAGCTATGTCCTTTGATCCTGCCACAAATCTGATTTTTTTCCCCTTCATTAAAAACTAAAACATCAGGGATAAATATATCTCCCGAATGCTGTTCTTGATATGTCCCAGATTCCAGAAGTGTTTAAATTTTAATATAATAGAAGCTATGAATTAGACCTTGGCCGACAGTTCAGTTTTCAGTTTTTCACAAATTTTTAAGCAGTGCCAAGAGACTGACTCCTTTCTTGCGATTTTTAAATCCTTCTTATGAAAATGGAATCATAAGCCTTTCTACAACCCTTGCTTTTCCTCAGCAACTCATTGGAAATAAAGTTGTGAGCTCGCCACTTCCATTCACCATCCCCCATTTTGGCTTAGAAGCAAAAAATGAATCACTAAAAAGACTGTTGCCTAACTTTTCCAATTTCCTCGAAAGCATTTCTACTTTCCTCAACCAAAATAAAGAACTAATTGGGTGCAGCTACCAAAAGTGGCAATATATTTTATATAATATGATTATATTCCCCCAACACAATTTTTACATAACTTCAATTAGTGTGATGAAGTTTTAAGGGAGGTTTTAGTATCTTGTGCTATTTGTAGAGTCAATTCTGAATTAGAATAGATTTTAAAGGATGTTGAAGTTATGTAAAAATTTGTTTTGGGGGATATGGCCTGGCCAGAGCCATCGTGGCTCAAACCCCCTCCCTCTTCAATAAGGAGAAAATGAATGTGATGTGTGGATTATAATAAATCTGAAGAAAGGGATTTTAACTGCAGAGGATTCTGGAGCTCTCAAGGGAAGTCATCAAAATCTTATTCACAGGACTTTGTGTGTCTTTATTCCATAGTTCTACCTAATCAAGCATAGGAAGTCCTCAGAGTTAGATATAATCCCTGTATGATTCTCAGAGTTTGTTTTATAAAATAATATCAAAAGCTTCCATAGGAGAGACCAAGCTGGGCTTGAAGGAGTGGTCAAATGCATCATTAGTCTTGAGTTCCTTTGCCTCCACAGACAGACTTAGTCCAGCTCAGCTTGGAATATGGGGTGGTTTGTGTGGGGAGGGGTTGTAATGAACTTCTGAATTTAAAGTTTCCCTCACCTGCCATGAGCCTGACAAAATGCTGGGTGGGCAGCTGTTGTGTGCACTGGCGGGAAGTTTCTAAATTATAAAAAGGTCCCCCAGGAGAGACAAAGGCATAAAACATCTAGGGCATTTTATCTAAGGCCATAGTGGGGAGATTAACCCTTTCCCTGTGCTATTCCAAGATTGATTAACAAGCACACACACACACACACCAAAATCAAGATTTCTATATTTGGGGCACTTGAAAATATAACATTCCCATGTTGGGATCAATAGCATCTTGGACCAAGGCAGGAAGTCAGGAACAAGATGTTCAGAGGAAATGCTTCGGCTTTCCAACTCCTTCCAACCACAAATTAGAAAATGAATTTTGAAAGAAAACGGGAAGGTTGGTAAGAGTTCAAGTCAGAAGCTTGTGCAGAAACTTCTTGGATTTATTCTTCTTCCTCGGCATGTGAAAAGCTTTGACAGACATTTAAGGAAAGGCAACAGAGCATCTCCCAGGAGCTAAGGTGGGGATAAGGCATTAACCAACCAAGGACGATGCTTCAGAGAGACTGCCACTAAACCTGGATGCTGTGTTCAGTAACCACAGTCGATGCCTTAGGCAGCCCCAGGCTGCTGCTTCTTTTTTCGCTGCCACCTGCCTTGCCCTGCTTCCTGAGAACATCCACTGGGATTTCTGGAAAGTGGCTTTCACCCCAGCTTCATATTCAGAAAGGAGGATTAATTGCTTCCTTTCCACATCAATGTTCCTAATTGGACCCTGCGGTGGAAAAAACCAGGTAAGAAGACCAGGAAGATCTCGAATCCAGCCCCAAGGCCTGGCCTGCCCTTTGGGGTCCTCCTGCCCCACCCCCCTCCCTTGGGGCCTGGCCAGAGCCACAGGGCCCCAACACACATGTCGTTAAGTGAGAGGCTGCCTCTGGACACAGAGGTTGTTCCAGTGGGATGCGGACAGGGCTTCGGCCGCAGGTGGGCCGGGGGGGTGGTGGTTTGACTGACGAGGCTTCTTTCCTCCCCGACCCCCGTTTTCCAGATTCCTCTCTACAAATGCTGAGCCATGAAAAGGAGGCAGCCCATTTGATCCTCCAGGAAACCATCTTTTCTCTTCTTTGCTCTTCTCGTTCCCAAAAAGGAGCAAACGCGTTTCTTTCCTCAGCATCTCTCATCCCGCATCATCACCACGAGAGGTGCCTCCTTCGGCTGAAGCTCCCCCCACCCCCCCGTCCTCTTTTCCAGGCTCCTGCAACGTTATCGGAGCTGGACAGACTGATCGACAGAGACGCCCGCCCTTCGGCTGCGGAAGGACCCTGGACAGCGGCCATTGCCCACCTCACCCCCTTC